CACATACACACACACACACACACACACACGGTATTGGAATAAAAACAGATACAATGATCAATCAATGAAACTGAATTCGAGACCTAGCCATATACCCACACACATATAGACACTTGATTTTTTGATAAAGAAGCCAGAAATACATGCTGGAAAAAAGATAGCATCTTCAACAAATGGTGCTGGTCAAACTGTATAATTCAAATAGACCCATACCTAGCACCCTGCACAAAAACTCAACTCCAAATAGATCAAAAACTATAAGATAAAGCCAGGTATACTAAAGCTGATAGAAGAGAAAATAGAAAATAGCCTTGGGCACACTGGCACAGTTGGTGGCTTTCTGGACAGAACACAGACAATGCAGGCACTAAGATCAATAAGTAATAAATGGGACCTCATGAAACTGAAAAGTTTCCACACAGCAAAGGCCACCATCATTAGGACAAATTAGCAGCCTACAGAATGGGAAAAGATTTTTACCAACTTTACATCTTATAGAGGGCTATTATCCAAAATATATAATCACACTCAAGAAACTTGATACAAAAAAACAATTAAAATTGGGGTACAGATATAAACAAAGAATTCTCAATAGAGGAATCTCAAACCGCTAAAAAGTACTTAAATGTTCAAAATCCTTAGCCATCAGGGAAATACAAATAAAAACGACTGAGATTCTATCTTAAACCTGTAAGAATGGCTATAATCAATAACACAAGTTGCAGTTCTTACTGACAAGGATGTGGAGCAGGGGAGCATTCTCCTCCATTGCTGGTGGGAGTGCAAATTTATAAGCTACTATGGAAATCAGTATAGCAATTCCTCAGAAATATGGGAAATAAGCTCCCTCAAGATCCAGCTATTCCACTATTGGGCATATATCAAAATAACATTTCATCCTAATACTTGCTCAACAATGTCCATTGCTGCTCTATTCATAATATCCAGAAATTGGGGATAGCCTTAACAGAAGAATGGATAAAGAACATGTGGTACATTTGCACAATGGGATTTTACTCAGCTCCAAGGAAGGGAGGAAGGGAGGGAGGGAGGGAGGGAGGGAGGGAGGGAGGGAGGGAGGGAGGGAGGTTTGTTTTCAGGCAAGGGAACAGAACTAGAAAAAATATCATCCTGAGTGAGGTAATCCAGACCCAAAAAGATAAATATGTATGTAGATTGTTATATATGGATATTAACCATTAAATAAATTATAACTCAGCTACAATCCATAGGCCCAAAGAGGTTAGATATAGTGGACAGAGACATATAGATCCCCCTAGGAGGGGGAAATAGAAGAGATTTTATGGGTGGATTGGAATCAGAAGTTGGGAGGTAGAATGGGAGGATCATGTGGAAAAGGGATGGGGGAACATGGGATTGAGGGGAGGTATGGGGGAAAAGACATTAAGAGTTGAAGTAGGAGCTTGAGAGATGGCTCAGTGGTTAAGAGCACTGACTGCTCTTCCAGAGGTCCTGAGTTCAATTCCCAGCAACCACATGGTGGCTTACAACCATCTGCAATGGGGTCTGATGCCCTCTTCTGGTGTGTCTGAAAAGAGCAATGGTGAATACATAAAATAAAAAAAATAAAGAGAATCAAAGAGTATTTGTGGGGGCAGTATGGAAATCTAGTGCAATGAAAACTAACTATATGAAGTCAATACAAATGAAGTCCCCAAATAATGAGAGCCAGAACTCTTTTTTTTTTACAGTACAAATTGATTTATTTAAAACAGTTACAAAAAATCACAACAAAATAGAGATTATCCTTAGAATTATTAATGCTTTGTTAAAGATCAGGTAGGATTAGAGGGTAAGAAATGGCACTGGGTGGGAGGAGCACCTGACTAGTTCTAAGGCTTTAGATACAATGCAATTGATTACATATTAATTCAGCCATTACATACTGGGGATAGTGATTGGGGGACCAGTAATTTATCTATAGGGAACTCCTACACAAACCAGATCCATCCAGACCTCCCCAGTGCCATTCTTCTCTATTCCTTAGGACCCTAAAGCCACCTGGATGACAAAATTCCCATAGTTCCTCCACCCCGTTACCTATCCATTCATCTTCCCTCCCCTAAGATGCTATGCAAGCTGAGAGCAGTCTGCTCTTTGCAGCTGGAACATATACTGTTTTGGCTCCAGGGATCCTGCGTGACTAGGGAGTGTGTAGAGGACAGCCTTATTTTAATACTTCAAGTTTGCCATTGAGTACAGTCAGTCTCTTCCCCAATCCAATTCAGTGAGTGCACTATGAAGCAGGTGAGGGTCCTCCCTGCCTTCAGCAATACCAGCAGCTCACCAACCCTCGCCATTTACAAGCGCAACCAAAGTCCCTGGCAGGGTGTGGGGTGGGCAGAAAACCACTGTCATCGGCTCTCTCTCTGAAGTTCCTAAGACCCCCTAACATAAAGACAGACTAAACGCTTGCAAATCTGACATTAGGTAAAGGCACATGGGCTACCGCCACACACACTGCAGGCAGGAACCCAGTCTGGGGCCATCTTTACTGCCAGGCATTTACAGTGGAATGGAGAGCCAGAACTCTTAATGGCCATGTCTTGTCACTAAATGAAGCTTCCAGTGCTGGGACTGGGTATCATATCCAATTGAGTTGTTAGCTAAAAGGGTCCCATGGAAATCCCCAACAACCTATGCTGTTACCAAGACAACTGGTTGCTCTCCACAAACTGACAGCAGAGGCTCATTGCTAAAGATAATACCCACACAACTCACTGAAAATGAAGAGATCAAACTGGTGCCTACATAGAACCTTTGCTCCCATTTTGTAATGTCTATGACATGGGAAAATATTCTGCAGGGTACCAAAAGAAAAGAGCAAATAGCAACCCAACCACAAATCCTTGAATCTACAATGGTGACACATACCTTGTGGGAGCAACCAGTCAATGTCTGATTTGACTTAAGGCCTATTACATATCCATACCCAACACTGCTGGGGTGACCAAGAATCAAAGACTAGATATCCTAGAAACCTAGAGTATAACCAAATACTACTGGTCAAAAAAAAAAGTAATAGTAAAATGACTTCTAATGATATTCTGATATATTCATAGTTCAGTGCCTTTCAGCCATCATCAGAGGGGTTTCTTCCTGCAGCAAATGCGAACAAATGCAGAGAGCCACATTATATGCATGCACGCATGCATATGCGCGCGTGCGGGCACACACACACACACACACACACACCACACATACCACACACACACACAGAGAGAGAGAGAGAGAAAGAGAGAGAGAGAGAGAGCTCTAAACAAGATATCTCCATCAAATCCCCTCCCCTGAGGATATCTCCATCAAATCCTTCCCCTGAGAGCTCAGGGAACCCCTCAGAAGAGGAGGCAGAAAGAGTAGGGGAATCAGAAGAGACAGAGGACACCAGGAGAACAAAGTCCTCTAAAACAACTGAGCAAAGTTCATATGAACTCACGAAATAGAAACATCAATCATAGGGCCTACATGGGTCTGCACCAGGTCTTATACACACACACACACACACACTGCACTAAAAGCTATCGTGTGTGTGTGTGTGTGTGTGTGTGTGTGTGTGTATTCGTATGTATAGATATGATTGTAATAAGCCCTTGTTGTCAGTTTGTAGAGAGCAACCTATTGTCTTGGTAACTTAGTAACAAGCCTGGGTTGTTTAGGGATTTCCATGAGACTCTTTCAGCTAACAACTCAATTGGATGATACCCAGTCCCAGCACTGGGGGGAAATAATATAAATAATTTTTATATATCTATATAATTTACATATTTACAAATAATATATAATAGTTTTCAGTTTAGTACTTTTATGGAACTTATGAATATGTAAACAAGTGGGTCTCTGATCCTTGTGCCTTCTCTTGCAGCTCTTTTAGTTTCTGTTGGCTTGGCTTGTCCAACTTCAATATGATAGTTTTCATTTTATCTTACTATATTTTGTTTTGTTATATTTTGTTATCTCCCAGAACCCTGTTCTTTTCTAATGAGAGACAAACAGGGAGTCTATCTGGATGGAAGAGGAGTGAGGAGCAACTAGGAGAGCAGAGGGAGGGGAACTGTATTCAACTGTATTTAGATTATACTGGATAAGAGAAGAGTCTGTTTAATAAAAGTGGGGAAGGAAGTCAGAGGTGGTGGCACAAGCCTTTAATCCCAGCACTGAGAAGGCAGAGATAGGCACATCTCTGAGTTCGAGGCCAGCCTGGTCTACAGAGTGAGTTCCAGGACAGCCAGGACTACACAGAGAAACTCTATTTCAAAACAACGCCAAAGGCAGGGGAGCGATGTCTACTAGATGAGTGTGGTAGTACACACCTTTAATCCCACAGATCACCATACCCAGCTTCCTCTGACCTCCCAAAAATTGTTGTTGTTGTTTTTTAATTAAATTTAGAGCTAATTGCTGGGCAGTGGTGGTGCACGCCTTTAATCCCAGCACTTGGGAGGCAGAGGCAGGCAGATTTCTGAGTTCGAGGCTAGCCTGGTCTACAGCCAGGGCTACACAGAGAAACCCTGTCTCAAAAAAAAAACCACAAACAAACAAACAAAAAAAAATTAGAGCTAATCGTTTTTAGACAGGAAGAATGTGAATTGTTGTGTTTGTATATAAAGTATCACAGTGATAATGAGCTTTATTAAGTGCTATTTCAGGGGCTGGCCAGATGGCTTAAAGGGTAAAAGTGCTTGCCTTAACGCCTGACTATTGAGTTTTATGAAAGCAGAGAACTGACTCACTTGAATTGTCGTCTGACTTGCACATGTGCTCCCTGGTGTGCTCATATGTACACATACATGTACATAATAATAAATAAATGTAACACAAATATTTTTTAAAAATTAATGTTTTAATGTAGCATTATTCTTATGGCTTAATGAGGTTCATACTAGTAAAGTAAATTTAAAGCTAAGTATTCCCTCTAGGTTCTAAGCACTGGGACACCTAGCAGAAAAGGATGAGGTCCACCAAAGTCATCTTTCACTTACCCATGTAGCCAACAGTACCAACTCTTCCTCGAACCATATGCCCTTCTGGGACTTCCATAGCTAGACCAAGATCTGAAATTCGGATGTGTCCTGTGCGTGTTCACACACAACGTACAGATCATGGGGAGAAGTAATATTTTAGTGACATTCATAACTGTGAGGCAAAGTCCATCTAAAAAGTACTGATGAGGGCTGGGGATATAGCTCAGTAACAGAACCCTTGTATATGGTATATAAGGCTTGAGATTCTATCCTCAGTGCTAAAAACACATAAAAATGTATCAAAAATACCAATATCTAAAAATTATATTTAACATTTATATATGTAATGTAATCTCATATAGCACACTGAGTTTCACTAACAGCAAGAAATTATATTTATACCTAAAGAAGCCCTTTAACAGTAAATGGCCACCAGATAAAGACAGAAGAACCATATTTATTATTTCCTCATAACTACCAGTTAAGATACTTCACTTATAGAACTGTACTATACAAATGTTTTGTGCATAGAAGGGCATAAATGTTGGCTACAGTCCTATGAAGGTAACCAATTACAAAAAATGTTCTTCTAAGGACACCTCTCATAGGATTTAGACTTACCCTAATAACACACCTCATAAACTTACAACATAATTTGTTCTCTTCCCTTCAATGCCAACTCTAGATACCAGTGCAGCATATCCCAGCACAAATCACAGACTTAAGAGTTGGAAGCAGTCGAGTTACTTCTTAATTATTACATAAATGAAATTCCAAGCACGTCTCTTCTTCATGGGGTCAGCACATAAGTTAGGTACAAGCAGAAAGCAGTGGCAGAAGTGCACATAAGAGCTGAGTACTGACAGAGTCGTACATTTTGCCTTCAGTAACGAGCCACATGAACTTATTCTTTCTAGGAATCACTCTGGCTCTGATTCACGTTCTCTGCTCCACAGAAAGATCCTTTTAGCCACTAAGAATCACTAATCATAAGCTCCTTCTTAAGTTGCTAACCCACTTAAAGTAAATACAACCAGCATCCTAGCAATAAGGCTCATTCTCACATCCAGAGATACCATGTCAGAGGCACCCATGATGCTGACAAGGAGCTAACCACAAGGCCAGTCCCCATCTACCACCACAGGGGCCCCATAACAGCATTCTACACCCCCTCTCTGTGACAAGTGATAAATAATAAGGGGACAGCACGGAGGGCAGCATGCCAAGTGCAGAGGGCTAAGGGATAAAGACAAAATAAATATGGGTCAATACCAAAAACCAGGAGGGCAAATACTCACTTTGGGTTTATTTTCACCTACTATAAAACATTCATCATTAACATATGGTGTCTCTGATTTTATGTAAGTAAAGGTGATAGCAATGTCAATTGTGTTTTGCTTTTTTTTAAAGAACACACCCAAAGAGTTTCTTTTAGTTATTGTTTGCAGTCTGCGTTATTAACTATGTCCACATGAGCTTTGAAGTACAAGTGTCCCTCTGATAAGCCTACGCTTAAGTGTGAAATGCTCTTACCACGATCATCAAGGAGGATATTTTCTGGCTTTAGGTCTCTACAAGGAAAGAAACAACAAAAAGCTGTTATTCAGAAATCAGTTCCTGAGCACTGAGAAGAAACAGCCAGAGATATCTTGATGGTTATAAAGCAGTAGCTAGAAGGGCAGAAAGTAAAACCACCCGCTGTGAGCAATCCAAGCTCTTACTGCCTTCAGCCATAACTACAGGCAGCTCAATAATTCTATAAAAAATCTAATTTGCTAGGCATGGTGATGTATGCCTATAAAAAAAAAGGAATTCATCTCAGCAAGCATCATACATATGCTGAATGTAAAATGAATTGCTTTACATAGTCTTGCCAAGCTGAAGATATTTCAGTGATTCTGTATGTAAGTCCAGAGTAAGGAAAGCAATTAGTTCTTAAAGAACTTCACTCGTTCTATTTTATTGTTAAGTACTTTAAAATGCATTACATTCCAAAAAAACTTTCAAAGGATTTATATTTATGACTTCACATTTGAGGACAATCCAGATTCCCTAAGTACCTCTCCCAATATGTGGAGCATATGAAAAGGGCAGTCTAAGCCAGAGTGCAAGACAATACCCTAGAAATAATGCCACAGCAGCAAGATGTGACAGAGAACCAACACAGGAGAACCCAAGAGATCCAAAGGGAGCACCTGCCAGCAGTAGGCAGTTGGTCCCTGTCAAGGTACCATCTGCTCAGGAGGCTCACAGTGGATGTCACTGCTGTCAGGGCAGAAAGGCCAGGGTAGAGAGTGAGTAGGGAAATTATGTGGCCTGGCAGGAGCTCCTGGCAGGGGTTGTTCTCCAATGGCATATGTACATTCATTCTCTAGGTACAGTAATAATAAGCATTTTTGAATTTTCCCTCTGTCCATTTGGGAATTTAAAACCCTATTAAACATTACTAAAACTAAACTATTCTTGACATGTAATCTTCACAGCCTCCTTGATTTTCTTTCCTTTCCAGTCACCCTCCCATCTCACATGTCCAGGACTCCACCCAAACCTGCTCAAATGTAGCCTGCCAACAGTATGGCTCTGGTTATGATGAAAATATTAGGCCTTCCCTGAGTCCCACTGACTCAAATGTACATTTCTTCCTTGTCCTTGTTGATCTACAGGTTCATTAAAGTATAAGAAGCTAGCCCTACGCCTGTCCTTCTGTACAATCAGCTATACAGTCGACAGAAAATACTAATGGTGTAAAATACAGTGGTAGGTATTTCACAAAATAACTGTGTTGGTTAGTTTTTGCCAACTAGACATAAACCAGTCACTTGGAGAGATGGAGCCTCAAATGAGAAACTGCCTCCATCAGATTAGCCTATAAAGCATCTTCTTTTTAATTTAATTTTGGTTTTTCAAGACAGAATTTCTTTCCTGGCTGTCCTAGAATTTACTCTGCTGAGCAGGCTGGCCTCAAACTTAAGAGATTTACCTGTCTCTACCTCCCAAATTCTGGGATTAAAGGTATGTACCATCACTGCCTTGGTGTAAGGTATCTTCCTAATTCCTAATTGATATAGGAGGGTCCAGACCACTATGGGTGGTACCATCCCAGAAAAGTAGGTCTGGGTTATATAAGGTGTTAGCTGAACAAGCCAGGAGAAGTGAGCCAATAAACATTTCTCTATAGTCTCTATTTCAGTTCCTGCTTCCAAGTTCCTGCATCAGTTCCCACCCTGACTTCAGTCAGTGATGGACTGTGACATGGAAGTGTAAGTCAAATCCTTTCCTTCCCCAGAGTATTGGTCAAAGTGTTTTGTTACAGTGACAAAAATTAAACTAGAACAAACAACAGTCGTTGCAATAATACATACTGGACTCTAATCAAAAATCTGAAATCTGAAATGCCTGGAACTCTGACATACTGTGGTGCATTCTCTAGATAAGGAATGCACAACCTAAAGCAGTAACAGTAGCCATCTGTCACTGAATACCCACTGTATGTCATGACTGTGAACTGTATGTGCTCTGTCTCTAGCCATTTACACAAAGATTCTCCATAGTAAGTACAGACAAGGAGTCTGAGGGTTTCCATCACTGTGAAGACCAAGGAAACTCTTATAAAGGACAACACTGAATTGGGACTGGCTTACAGGTTCTGAGATCAGTCTATTATCAACATGGTAGGAAGCATGGCAGTGTCCAGGCAGACATGGCACTGGACGAGCCAAGAGTTTTACATCTTGAACTGAAGACAAACAGAAGACTGTCTTTTAGGCAGCAAGGAGAGTCTCAAAGCCCACCGCCACAGTGACACACTTCCTCCAACAAGGCTACACATACTCCAATAAGGCCACACCTCCTAATAGTGCCACTCACTGGGCCAAGCATATTCAAACCAACACATTCCACTTCCTGACTCCCATAGGCTTGTTCAAACACATGAGTTTATGGGGGCCATACCTATCCATAGCATAATGCAAAATATATTTAGTCCAATTTCAAAAGTCCCATAATCTCTAACAGTCTCAACAATGTTAAAGGTCCAAAGTTCAAAGTCTCTTTTGAGATTCATGCAATCTCTTAACTGTAATTCCCTATAAAAATCAAAATCAAAAAGCAGATCACATGCCTCCAACATCACAGGATATACATTACTATTTCAAAACAACATAGTAAGGAAATCCTGGACAAAATCAAGACCAAAAGCCACCTGGGTAAACTCCAAACTCTGTATCTCCATGTCTGATGTGCAACTCCTTTCTGCTTTGTTGACTGCAACACAATTCTTTCTCTTTGGATGGTTTCACTTCCTGTTAACAGCTTTCCTCAGCAGATATCCCATGGCTCTGACATCTCTAATATCTTGGGGTATCCAAGGCAACTTCATCTTCACACCTTATTGTTACAATGTCTGGGATCCATACATGGTCTTCTCAGCTCCTCCACAGGGCTTGGGTCTCTTCTCTAGCTCTCTAGGTCCTGGTTGAGTCCTCTTCACTGCTGCTATTTTTGGTGATTATCACATGGTACTGGCATCTCCAAGTCACTGGAGTCTTCCACTGCAACTAGGCTTCACCAATAACCTCTCATTGGCTCTCTTCATGGGGCCAAGCCTAAACTTCTTTGTATGACCCCTTCAGTCCTGGGCTATCAACTGCAAATGATGCTTCTATGGCCTCTCACAGTGCCAGGCCTCAGCTGCTCTCCATGACCCCTTCACACCATCAAAACCAGTACCACCTGGTTGACTCTTACACATTACCAAATATAGTTGCTGCACAAGGTACAACTTTGGCTATCTCTGGAACAAAGCTTTTTTGTCCTCTCAGAAAACATTTTCCAGAGGATTTCACCCCAGTGACGCTGGTCTCTTCTTAATCACCACTAATTTCTTAGCTCTAGCTAACCAGCATCAGTTGTCCCAGTAGTCCCTTCTATTCTTGACACTAAAACCAGAGCCACATGGCCAAAGCTGCCAAGTTCTGCTGCTTGCTGGGGCTGGAAGTGGAACATGGCCCCCTTGTTCTATTACATTATCACCAGCTTTCCACTTCCCAACTCCTTCACTGCCTTAGCTTGGCTGTCCTGAAACTTGCTCCATAGACTGACCTTGAACTCAGAGATTTGCATGGGTCTGTCTCCTGAAAGCTGGGATTATAGGCATATTTCACCACCACTGGACTTAAGCTTTTCTTCACCTAGAACGTACTCTGTCTCAGGCTAGCCTTGAACCCAGAGTTCTGCCTTGCCTTTGTCTCCTGGGATTAAAGATGTGTACCATCGTTCATGAGCCTAAGCTTTTCATGGCCACTATGCCTCAAGATATGGATCCAAAGCTTATTTCTTCCAGCCTTAAAATCTAGATCACAGGTGTGTCCTCCATTTCTGTATTGTAGTTCATTCCAGATTAAAAGTCCAAATTATTCCTTGGTCAACAGCAAATGCTTAAATGGTAAGGTTAGTTGGGTGTAATCTTGCCCCAAAGTCACCATTCCCTTAAATATGTTTATCTCCTTAAACACAGGATTCAGCTCCATTTCACTTCCTAGTGCTCCTTTATTACTTGAACCATACATTTTATATTTTTTTCTTTTAAAGCTTGCTATGCTTCATCAAAATGTTCTTCATAAGACTAAGTCACAGCACAGACTCTAAACTGGATTGTTTTGAGACCTCCTTGGTCAATGTAATTAATATGAGTCTCTTCAATTCAGCTTCAGACAGACTCTTTAGACAAGGACAAAAGCAGCCACAGTCTTCTCCAAAGTATCACAAAAAAACAGACTCTAGGCCACATACTAACATTCTTCTCCTCTGAAACATCTTGGGCCAGGTCTGCACAGTTCAAATCACCTTCAGTACCAATGTTTTCCATATTCCTACTAGGATGGTCCATTAAGCCCCACTTAAAGCATTTCATGGCCACCCAAAGCCAAAGTCCCCAAATCCTCATGCCTATCAGAGGAATACCCCATTCCTGGTACCAACTTTTGTCTGGAGTCTCAGGAGTGTTATAATCTATCACATAACACACCAGATTACTTTTCTGGTCTCATACTACTCTTCCTGATAAAGATAGTACTTTTCCATCTGAACCCCATTTTCCAACCTGTTAACAAGTCTTGACTGATCATGAGATAGCAGAACTGCAGATATTCCTCAGAGAGAATGCTTTGAACTAGCCTGGATCACCTATTACCCCTCATATTAGGCCTGCCTGCCACCCCAGGATGGCTTTGTGCATGGTTTTCTTCTTTTTCATTGATGCCTCCAGAAAACAAGTCATCAGGCTTTTCTGGTGAATGAGACTAAGCATAGATAGACAAGGGCCACACTAAAGAGGAAAGCTGATCTGCTGCACCCACAGTGTGAACAATGCTGGGCACACTTCAGAATGACACTAAGAGAAGAGCCTGAGGTTGCCATAACTCAAAATAACTAGAATATTAGTTAGCCTCAATGTTTAGACCAGGATCTTAAACCAAACAAGTTAACCTTAACAAACCCTAGCTGCAATCTTAGGGAATAGTAACACTACTGCAGAAAACTCTGCATCTCAATGAGCAGGCTCAGGTCATTG